TGTGTGTGTATGGAACCATCTCCCCCCTCCCTGCTTGCCTTGCTTTGTCTGTTTGTCCCCCCAGCATCCCTGGAGCTGCTGCTTCTCCCTGAGCCTCGGGGGCTGAAGGTGCCGGCAGGTGCAGGGTCACTACAGGAGCCAGGGAGCTGGGCTGCAGTATGGGGCCAAAGCAAAAAGATCTCCCCCTTTCTCTATGTTGCTATTTAAGCTGTGTAAATATTTGGAGAAAAGATATTTATTGCTGCTGCTGGTGTCAAATCACTGCTTGGGGACAGAAAGAGGATGGGACCCAGGCACCCTTCCAGCCCCTCCTTTATCCCTGCATCCCCTCCACGTGCAGCCCCTACTACAACCACATTAAGATATACACAATATTTTATTGACAACTCTACATCACTTTTTTTTTTTTTTTTCTCCATTCAGTAAAAACAATGTTTGGGTTTGGTTTTTTGTTTTCTCCCCCCTTTTATGTACACAGTGCTCCCACCCCGCTATTTACAGGCTATGTACAGAGGCAGGGCTAGCTTTTCAACTTCTCCTCCAGCTTCATCATGTCCATGGGGGTTGTCTTGGCGACCTCAAAGAAGACCCTGCAAGGAGTTGTGTGGGGTTGCAGAGCTCAGCAGCAGCCCTGGCACCCCCAGGAGAGCCCCCAGGGGCTGCTGGCATACTCACCTGTGTGAGTACTTGGTGCGCACAGCCTTCAGCTTGTCACAGGGCTGATAGGTGAGCAGAAAATTCAACCTTTTCACCAAGGGGTGCAGATCCTGAGCGCAGTACCCGCTGTAATACTCCAGAGTGGGGGTCTGCGGAGCGACGAGGGGTAAGCCACAGCCACCCCTGCGCTGTCACCTCGGCCCTCCATCCCTTCCCACGTTCCCACGCTCACCCAGCCACCCAGGTTCTTCATGGTGAGTGCCAACAGCAAGCTGCTGGCAGCCAGCTTGGAAGGACGCTCCCGTGCGTAGTCGTACTCCTGCAGGGTCATCTCACAGAGGAAACGGGCCAGAGTCAGCGTCTCCATCGAGGCACGGGCACACTGTGGGCAGAAGGCTCAGATTTAAGCAGCACCACACCAGCATCCTTCTTTCTGGGGCACCGGATGCAGATCCCAAGCCCTCAGGTCAACGCCATCACCCTTAACCCTCCCTTTCTCTCCCTCCCTTTGTGTCGCAGCCCATGGGAGGTGGCAGAGCCCCACCTTGGCAAAGCGCCGCAGGAAGCGGTAGGGGATGGGGATGTTGATGTCGAAGTTGAGGGTGCGGAGGATGCTCGTCTCCATGGCAATGAGCTCTTCCCTCTTGTAGGCATCGTCGCAGATGTACAGGAAGTCATCCACGCATGGAGGGCAGCGCTCCTGCAGGGAGGAACTGCTCAGAACTCATCCTGATAACATTTGGGGGGAGCCTACGCAATTTTCAGGCCTTCTCAGGGTACATCTCCTGCCAGGAGCATCATATCGTGACACCCCGGTAACCCTGGCAGTCCCCAAACAGCAGAGAGGAGCCAGGTCTCCAGTAGGCAGGATTCAGCCCTCGGCACAGAAAGGGGCAGCACAAGGATGGGTGAGCCACCCCAGGGCTTTAGAGCCCCAGCGTTCTCCAAAACCCACACCAAGATTCACCTCGAATTTGGAGGCGATGAGGACAGCAGTGGAGCCAATGAGCTGCAGCTTGTCCCTCATGCTCACCACCTCCACCAGGTAGTGGTCCACCAGCTTCACTGCCAGGTACAGTGTCTCATGGTTCAGCTCGAAGTTTTCCTGCAAAGATATGAGGCGATGGGCAAAAGCCTGAATTCCTGGGGCATTCACAGCCTCATCATCAGCATGGGGAAGGGGATGAGGAGGAGCTCTGAACTGGGGACGTTCGTAGGTCTGGAGTGGCTCCCGCCCTATATAAAACATGGGACAAATCCAAGCCCCCTCCCCATGCGTGCCTACCTGCACCTCCACCATCCAGTCCACCAGGATGGCACGCATGTCCCTGCTGATATCTGGCTGCTTCTCCATGTAATCAGGGAGCTGGAACTTTTCCTGTCAAGGCAGCAGAAGTCAGGGACTCCCTCCCAAAATGAGCCCCCTCCCACCCCACGCAGGACTCCCCAGGCAGACATCACTCAACACCCACCTCCCTCTCTCGCATGTAGTCAAAGATCTCCTTGGCATACTCTGCATTGGCGTAGGGGTCTCCCAGCTGCTCCTTGTCTATGTCCTCCACCACTGGGACCTGCTGCGTGGAGAAGGCAGCAGTGAGAACAGGCATGGGGAAAGCTTGCAAGAGCTCTTCAGGGTAGCACACCCTCTCTCCAAGCTGACCCACAGCAGTCACTCCTTTCTTTGCCATTGGAGAGGCTCCTAGGAGCAGGTTTAGCCTCCAGCTCCCATCCCAGCACACTGAGCTTCCAGAGATGCCCCAGTACCTCTAGAATAGAGCTGGGGGCCAGGTTACAGCCTGGGGTCCATCACCTGGGACAGCTTCATACCTGCACAGGCTCCTCAGACACAGAATCTTTCTCGGGCTCCACAGGAACATCTGTTGGGGGGGTTTTCCTCAATGACCTAGACAGGACAAAAACATCAGAAGGGAGACATCTCCTGGGTCTCCAAAAAGCCCCATCTAACTCCTGCCCACCCCCATCCTGCTCACGTACTCCAGCACCCCAGGGAAACCCCAACACCACAGGGATGGCTGTGAGTGGGTGCTGGTCCCCACACCCTGCTCCCATCTCACCTGAGTACTCACTTTTTCAGGTTGATCTCATTGTTCTTGGCCACTATCGGGGCAGGGGGGGCCCTGGCTGTTTTGTGGGTGGGAGCTTTGACCCCCTCCTTCTTCCCTGTCACTGTCTGGTTCTTGTGAGCCTGGTTTTGGGGGAAAAAGAGATGAAAACGTAGCAAAGAGGTAAGGTGAGGCTCATCTGTGCTTCTGGGGGAAGGGTGGGTGAGGGGGCTGGGAGCACAGCAATGCACTCACATTGGTGATGTCCCCAAACGCTGACCTCTTCTTGGGTCCTCCCTGGGGCGAGGATGGGGAGCGTTTGGCCTGACAGCCCTCCTCCTACAACACAGCCAGTGATGTGGGGCTGGGGGCACCCCACAGGGAGCCCAAACTGCCCATAGCCCACAGCCATACCTTCTCTTGGGGGACATTCTCAGTAACAGAGGGCGCTTTGCTGGCTCGGGGCTGCTTGCTGCTCTGTGCCTTGCTGCTGCGTGCCACCGGCATCCTCCTCCTCGGCCTCTGCGAGCAAAGAGGGGGGTGGGCACAGTTATGGGGGGGGGGGAGGGGATCCAAATCTCACCGCACACCCGCAGCGAAAGGGCTGCAGGGCCCAATGCAACCAATAGCAAGCTCAGAGGCGCCCTCCCAGCCCTGCAGAGGGGCCCAAGCATCGGGAAGCACCGGGGGGGTGGGAGAAGCAAAGAGATATGGGGAGAGGGGTGCAGTGGGACCTCCCCACCCCTCCTTCCCTCCACGAGGTCTCGGTGCCTATAGGGCAAGGGCCCAGCTCAGCACCCAGTGACACAGGAAGGAGCCCCACACGTAGGTAGGAATAAAACCAGGGGGTCACAAACGAGAATTCCAGGCTAATGCATCCCACCGCCGCTCACCTGCACGCAGCCGCCGCCGGCCCCGGCTCTTTTGAAAGTAGCAGCGCTGCGGCGGCTGCCGGCACTGGTCGAGCCGCGTGGCCAATCAGCGAGCGGGCCGCTCCGCACGAGAGCCAATAGGAACGCCGGGATGGATGCGGTTGCTTAGGGGCGGGCAAAAGAGTTTAAAATTCTGCCTCGCCAGCCAATAAGGAGCGGCGGAGGGGAGGGGGGCGGGGTTACGGCGGTTGGGGGCGGGGCCGGGGCGGTTGGGGGCGGTGTCATGGCGGCCTGGCGGTGTCATGGCGGCCTGGCGGTGTCATGGCGGCCTGGCGGTGTCATGGCGGCGGTGGGGTGCCATGCGCTGCCCGCAGGGCAGGGAGGCCCTTAGCGCCCTGCATGACCTCCTGGCCTCCACACATCTTTTCTGACACATGGCCCGAGTTCCGGGAAGCTCTGGGGGCTGCATCCCCATCGGGGGGGGGCTGCAGGGCTGTGCTTGGGCCCAGCGAGGCCTAGTGAGGCCCTGTGTGTGTGGTGAACACAGGCTGAGTCTGCAGCTTCCCTACCACTAAAGCCCGACTGAAAACCTACCCCTGTCCTGTTGCTCTTAGATTATGTGAAAAGTCGCTCTCTTATCTTGTTTACAAGGTTCCTTTATTGACGAAATAGTTTTTCCCACCACTGGCCCTGAGGCTCTGAGGCCTGAACGAAGGCGAGCTCGGCTCTGCTCTGAGGAGAAGCCCTGAGGGCTGTGCTCCCTGCACAGAAATCCTGTGGGCCACACCACACCCACACCTGGGAAACGGGTGCAGCCACCTGTGGGGTTCCATCCCCAGCCAACAACTTGCAGCTGTGCAGCAGTGAGCTGCCTGGGCCGGGTCGGTGTCTGCCTGGCTTGATGGGGGGAAGCAGGAATTTCTAGTCCCTGCAGCACCGCCCTCGGGAGGCTCTTGGGTGTTTTGGAGGTGATGGGGAGGATGAGAAGCATCTGCTGGGAGGTGTTTGCTCTGGGATTGCTGCCCTGGCACAGCCTCAGGGTTGAGAGGAGGAGCGAGAATTATCATCTGTGGGATGGACAGAGATGGGTTTTCCTTCCTTTCCCAAGCTAAATCCTTTCCCTTTCCCAGGCTCAAACAGGCCTGACTTGTTGCTCCCCGTGGCCCGGTGCCAGTCGCACGGAGCTGAGCAGCATGAGCAGGATTGGAGTTCAACATTTTGTTCCTCCTCCCCTTTCCACTGTTAATGGCAGAGGAGAGACTGAAGTGGGATAAGAGCTGGTGGTGATGCAGTGTGGGTGGCTGCAGACCATGTGTCCCCCACTGTCCTTTCAGGGCCATGGGAATCCCCCTTCCCCAGGACCCGGAGCCCATTGGGGATGGGCTGGCAAGAGCTTGGGTGTGACAGCTTCATTTCCTGAGCTCTGAGCTTCTGCTTTTATTTGCTAAAAAAAAGCAAGCCCATTCCCCAGTAAGCAGGGTTCACCGTCCAGCCAGGGGGGCACAGAGCCAACACTGCACCTGGCAAAGCACCTCGTCCTTCACCTCCTCACTTGGTGGCCGATTTGATCTTCTGGATGGTGTAGGGACTGGATTCCTTGGGCATCCAGATCTCCTCCCCACCACGGCCCTGCTGCTCGGCCGCTCCCTCCATGGCTGCCGTCAGCTCGGGGCCGAAGATGCTCTCAGTGGCACGGTAGGCGCGGGTGAGGCGGCGGAAGGAGGAGTCGGAGGAGCTGTCGTCAGGCAGGTCTTCATCCTGCTCATCCCGCAGTTTGGTCCTGCTTGCCTCTGAGCGGCCACCTGGGCCCAGCAGAACCTCCTTGGCCTCCCGCAGGAAGGCAGCCTTGGGGTTGACGATGCACAGCAGCAGAGCGAGGCCTGCCGACACCCCGCAGAGAAAGTAGAGAGCGACTTTTTCAGGGACATCTGGTGGGGGGAAAAGAGCAAAGAGAGGCATCGGGGTGCACGCCCTGCTGCAACACACAGGGTGCCTGGGCCTGGAGACCCCCCCCACCAACCCAATACTTTGGGGCCACGTACCCCAGAGGTGGGCAAAAGCTGCCAGGGAGCTAGTAAAAATCATCCGGTCTTCCCGGAGCCTGGAGAACCTGGGCCCTTTGTACCAGCCACCTGCAGTGAACAAGGGGACGTGAAGGGCCGCCTCCCCTTGGGGTGTCTATGTGCCAGACCCCCTCTTTTCCCCAGCAGAAAACACCCTTGTTTGCTCTGAGGTGGATTGCTATGAGGTTCTCCATCCCTATGGGGCACAAGATGGTTTCCCCTCTGCTCCCCAAATTACCGTGCATGTAGTTTGAGAGCAGGAAGGGATCCGAGGTGTCTGGGCCCACCTCCTCCAGCAGCTGCTTGGGCACTGCAATGAGATATGCCGTCCCAAGTGTCACCACCCCACTTGTCCCCAGGGGTGGGGGACACACAGCCTCCCCAGCCCCGCAGTTCCACTCACCACAGGTGTAGGACACCCGCAGCTGCTTCCTCGTGCCGGGCAGGCATGGGTCCCCAAAGTTGGCCTGGTCAGCAGTCACTGTGCAATTCCCTTTGCGGTGGCACTTCTTGGAAACTCTCCGCAGTGCATCTGGGGCCAGGCACTCTGCAGGGACACGGGACCTCTGGCCATCGGCACAGCGCTAAGCACAGCTCCCAGCCATGATTCAGGCTGTGACCCCGTCCCCCTCATACCAATATGGGGTCCACCAGCGTTGGGGGCATCGCACTCAGGTTTGCCCCTCAGGAATCGTCCATAGTGTGCAGAGTAAATGGCCAGGACGGACTTCGGCCTGCAGTGCAGCCTCAGCTCGTTGTTCTCACACACTGTCTTCACCCGATGGTTATCTGGGGAGGGAGGAGGTGGGCAGAGGGTGATACCCTAGGGTGACCCAGCGTGACACCCCAAACCTTCTCCTCTTGCCCAGCCCCGGGTTCCCGTGGATGCTGCCCACCTGGCCGGCACTTGTAGGATGCGATGAGGTACTTGTGTGTGCCGGGGCAGGGATCTGGCCCGAACACCTGGCTGTGCACCGAGAACTGGCACCACTGCTGGTCCTGACACTCAGCCAGAAGCTTCTGCAGGGCAAAGCAGGGCGGGTGTGAGGCTGGTGGAAGGACGCCGGGCCGTTGTCACCTCTATGCTGTCACCTCTGTCCTGCGGCTGCTGTCGCCCCCACGGTGGCCACGTGGTCTTGTGGGCAATTTTGGTGTCCAAATCCCAAATCAGGTGCTGCCCTGTGCCCATGCAGACTGCGCATGGTGCCCGGGCAGGCACGCACGCCTGCACTGCAGCACAAAGTGTGTGCACAGACACTGCTCCGTGCAATGTCTATGCTGCAAGCACGCAGGCGTGCACACTCAGCTTCCTGCAAGATCCATGCATGCAGGCAGGCACACTCACGCGGCTCCAAGCAACACCCTCGTAAGCACGCACAACCACAAAGATCCATGCAATGCCCGTGCAGGCATGCACACTCATACAGCTTCATGGAATACTCATGCACGCTGACATAGCTCCATGCAACGCCTTTGCAGGTAGCTGTGCACATTTCCACTGCTCCACGCAGCACTTCTGCAAGCGCAGCCGCGCGCACAGGGCTCTGCGCAACACCCCTGCAGGCATGCGCTTGTCTTGCAGCTCCGTGCAACGCCCTCGCAGCCCCAGGCTCGCTCCAGGACGGCCCCGTGCAATGCAAGCTCACGGCCGCAAGGTGGGGACGAGGCTTCACGCCGCACCTGGTACCGTCCCCGTTGAGGGGACGTTGAGGGGACGCTGGCTTTTGGTGCTGGCTGAGCTGCAGCAGCGCCACCTCCCAGGCTGCTCTCGCTGGGACTCAGCACAGGGGATCCCACGCACCCTGCTCTCCTAGAAATGCCCCAAGAGCACAGCCACACACGACCCCAAATGTCCCGGGACGCTGCCCTTACCAGGTGGGCTGTGGGTGACATGCACTCGGTGCTCTCCTGGGACACGTTGCCGGGGCTGGGGCACAGGTTGGGGCTGGGCACGCGGCGCCCGTAGAAGGCGCCCAGGATGCTGATGGTGGTCTTGCGAGGGCACAGGATGAGGAGCTGCTCCCCATCACACGTGTGCACCGTGTGGTTCCGCAGCACCTTGCGTAGGTACCCTGCAGGGGGACACAGCAGTGAGCTGGGGAGGGATCGCAGATGATGGCCAGAATGGTGACCAAGAGGTGGTCAATCTCTGAGAAAAGATCACCAGGAGATGATCACCGGAAATGGGAAGAACCCGATGGATGAGAAATTCCCAGCCCACATCCTTCTGGGTGGGCAGAGGTCCTGCTTCTCATCCTGAATTCCCAGCGTGGGGTGTTTCTCTCCTTTAATCCTGTGTAGTTTGTGTCCCAAAGCAACTTATCTTGGTGCTTTCCCTCTGTTGTTTGGAAGCTTGGGGGTGGGGAGAGGGCGATGAGCCTTCCTGTCAGGCAGGATTCAGGGCTCTGGGGGACGTAGGACGCTGAGGGATGAAGGACAGGGAAGGATGCAGGTTGCTGAGGGATGCAGGACGCGGGGATGCAGGATGGAGGGTGCTGGGAAGGCGGGGCACAGCCAGCAGCTCCCCAGCCCCCAAATGAACACAAGCAGGTGGGAGAGCTGGCTCCCAGCCCCACGCTTGTCCCTCTGTCCCTCCATCCACAAACCAGTGCCAGGCTCAACCGCACAAAGAGCCCCTTTCAATTCCCCTGTGGCCACCGACCCTTCATCAGCCGCAGCCAGCGCTGCTCCCAGGGGCCAGCAGCATCCAAGGGGACAGCAGAGATGTGGATGGGGTTTGTGCTTTAGAGCGGAGGTTCCTCCAGTGGCAGAGGCATCGCAGTGCCTCCACCCAGCACTGACACACTCTCGCTCAGACGCTGTTTTTTTGGGGGGTGAAGCACCAGCAGGGAGGCTGTGGGCGATTCTCCTCATGGTGTGACTGACTCAGACCCAGAGTTGTGCCGTCAGCTCTGCCCAGATGAAATCACATCCTCCCCACCTGCCCCACAGCAGCTTTTTAGGTGCTGGGCCAGAGCCAGCGCATTTCCCATGGGATCCCCCACACTCCACAGTACACAGCCACCCAGCCAAGCCTGGCTTACACCCCACCCCTCCTGGTCCCCAAATCCCCTGTGCCCCACTCACCGCTGAGCTCCGGGCTGGCCTCTGTCCCCGCAGCCAGGCAGAGGAGCAGCAGGGCCACCACCAGCGTGGCCACCATGGTGCCACCAGTGCTCTCTGCCACCGCCCGGTCCCTGCAGCAGCTGGCGCCAGGGTGGGGGCTGGCACAGCAGTGACAATGGGTCCTTCTGTGCACTGCAGAGCGACTGGGGCCGCTTTGGGCAGCTGGGACAGCATGGGGACAAGTGCCACTGGGAGCAGAGGATGTGTTTTTGAGGGCTGTGCAGCAGATGAAGGAGGGCAGTGGGGTCCCCAGCCTGCACCCCGCTTTCTGCTTATGGCCAGGATACACGCGTGCTGCAGGCTGTGTCCCAGCACATGTCCGGTCATTGAGTGCTGGGGAGGAAGGGAAGGGCTGCCTTGTGCTTAGCAGCAGCAGGAAGCTCTCTTCATTCACAGATTGTTTGCAAAAAGTTCTGAGCTTATCCAAGCTGGGGTGAATGGGGACGCAATAAAAACCCCATTTTGTGCAAAGCTGGTGCTGGCTGCATGGCACCATGGCACGTTGCTGGGCTCACCCCAGCAGCCAGCTCCACCCAAAGGCATCCTGGGGAGGAAAGCAGGGGGGGCATCTTTCCCATGAAACAGCCCAAATTCCGGGAATGGGGCCGTGGAATGGGTGTTTTGCAATGCCTTCCTGTGTAAGGCTGTCTGTGACGAGGTGGTGGTGAGCGGCCGGGTTTGCCCTCCACGCTTCCCCAAACCCTCAGCCCCACACCCCCATTGCAGCAGGGTGGGCATCGTGGCATCGTGCTCGCGTCCTGTATCTGTGGGATCCAGCGGGACGGCAGCAAGAAACTCAGGGAGAGGGGAAAAAAAAGAACCAGAGGGTGGTGAAGACACTTCCTGTACTAAAAAAATAACCCTATTCCCATTGGAGAGGTGATTGAGACGCCTGGGAGGGCGCGATAGCCTGGCTGGGGACCCGTCAGTGCCTCCCTGATAGATGCGTGCTGAGTCACAGCTGGGAGGCCCCGCAGCTTCCCCCTCCTTGCACCCCATCGCTCCTCCCCGCTTCGGACGGGAAGGAAAGGGCGAGCCCCAGTCCCAGCCCACCCCGAGGTGCAGCAGCCGCGCGCCGCAGAGCACAGGCGAAACTCAGCACAGCAGTGAGTGTGCTGTGTCCCCCCGCTGCGATCCCTGCTATGGAGAGCCGGCCGGTGAAAGAGCCTGAGATTGAGCTCTTTGTCAAGGTGGGTTTGGCCAGGTCTGTTTGCAGGTGGGTGGTGGGGATTTGGGGTGTCTCTGTGGATCGGCAGCCAGCTGGGTGGCATGGGGAGCTCCAGAGGATGTTCCGCTCCAAGGGTGGTCGTGCATCCCTTGGAAACTGCGATTGCAGAGAAGCAGAGAGGTGGGCAGCTGCAGAAGTGCAACAAGCAACTCAGCTGGGAAAGCAACAGGAGGGTGGAAGCACAACGCAGTGGGGCTGGGAAATGGAGCGGGTGCCCCGGCGTGGGTGGGATGGGGCAGCTCCTCTGGTCAGCCTTGAGGATAATTCACTAAAAAATGGGCTGGTTTTTTCCTTCTCTTTCCTTTTCTTTCCTTTCCTTCCTTCTGTTGAGCAATTTTTCAAGTGTTTCCTCGGGAACATTCCCACACTCCTGCTCCAAACAAACATCTGCAGCCGCATGCGCCGTCCCTGCTCCCCTCTTTGGATATCAGCACTGGGAAGTGTTACCACGGGCTTCACCCCCATCCCCTCTCCCCAAAGCAATGCTCCCCAGACACCCAGCCTAGGCTGAGCCCAGAGCAATGCTTGAGGATAAGGATTCAGGTCTCCCATCTCCTCTTCTGCACCTCTTTTTGCCCCAGGATGGCTTTGGGAAGAGGAAGACGTGCGCACGGCTGCTGTGATGGCGGCAGCACATTGATGGGGGGTTTTGGAGGGAAGGGAAACAGAAAACAAATTGGCAGGCTCAGGACTTCCCCTAAATCTTAATTTAGCACCAAAAACCCCCTCTTGCACATCCGTTGGCAAACTGACGGACGCATCGCCCTCCATGCGCTCTGTGCGCGGCGTCACTGCGCAGCCCACCCCGATGTGCCCCCCAGCTCTGTTAGGGAGAGCTTTCAGGTGGGTCTGGGGGATGTCGGGGTGATGCAGCTCACAGAGTGCTCCCTCTTCCTCATGCTGCTTCACTCTGCGTTAAACCACCGGAACTTGTGAGCAACTTTGGGGTTTTGATGCCTCGTGCAGGCGTGGGGCCTCGGGTAGGGGCTGACAGCCTGCACCTCCCTGGCTGCCTTCGTCCATTGGCTTGGGGGCTTTTCCATCATCTGCAGGGTTTCTCCAGCATCTGGAAGGGTTCTTTATCATCAGGAAGGGTTCTTCCATCATCTGGAGGGATTCTCCATCATCTGGATGGGTTCTCCATCATCTGCGGGGGTTCTTCCATCATCAAGAAGAATTCTTCCATCATCTGGAGGGTTTTCTTCATCATCTGGATGGATTTCTTTACAATCTCAAGGGTTTCTCCACAATCTAGATGGTTTCTGTCATCATCTGAAGGGGTTTCTGCATCATCTGGAGGGGAAAGCAGTGGGCACAGTCAGTGGGGAGCCACAGGAGCTCTTGCTGAGCAGAGGAAGAAGCTCTTGCTGGAGGGGGAAGCAAAGAGCAATGACTTCCTCTCCCTGCTGTTTGGTGCCATGAGTGCTAGTGGAGCTTCCTCCTGATAACATTTGGCTCCGAGCATCCTCAGATGGGCTTGGCTAAGGTTTATTTTCTGCTTCCTGCAGAGGCCATCCTGATTTTCATTTCAGGACAGCCTCACTGAGCTACCAGTGCTGGAGGTGCTCCAAGGGATGACATTGGTGTTGGCTTGCTAGGGACTGTGGAGAGGGGAAAGGGAGCAGAGATGTTTGATGGCATAAGAGTGGGGTGGCTGTTTTCTAACCTGCCGCCTCCTCTCAGGACACCTGCACCCCAACGTTATCCCAAACTCTCCTCCAGGTGGTGGTGGTGGCTGTGCTCCCCAGCCCCTTCTCCTCCCTGGGGTGGGCGATGCTCACTCCTCTCGCTTGGCTGCTTTAAGGCTGTGCAGTGCAGCAGACAAAAACAAGCTGTGCTTTTCCTGGCAAACATGAGCACATTTCCCCTCTGAGCCTGGCGTCCCAGCCAAGCTGACCCTCCCTTCCTCTCCCTTGAGCTGTCCATCCTCCTCCACCTCCTCCTCCTCTCCTCCTGGCTTCACCTCAGGGCAGGCTTTGACCTCTCTGCTTTCCCCGCAGGCTGGGCTGGATGGAGAGAACATTGGGAACTGCCCCTTCTGCCAGCGCCTCTTCATGGTGCTGTGGCTCAAAGGGGTGAAGTTCAACGTCACCACGGTGGACATGACCAGGTGAGGTGCCAACACCGTGCTGGGGTCAGTCCCTGCCCTCCAGCCACGTGCATCACTTACACATGGGTTTGAGACACCAAAAAGTTGGGGGGGGGGGGCATTTCCCAGAGCCCAAACCCGGCCCAGCATGCAAGCAGGGCGCCCCCGCTGCACTCACCCCAGCTTTTCCCCCTTCCTTTCTCTGCCCCAGGAAACCTGAAGAGCTAAAAGATTTAGCACCAGGCACCAACCCACCCTTCCTGCTGTTCAACCGGGAGCTGAAAACTGACTTCATCAAGATCGAGGAGTTCCTGGAGCAGACCCTGTGCCCACCCACGTAATTGCAAACCTGTGTTGAGCAGGGCTGGCCGGATGGGGAAACTGAGGCAGGAGAGCATCCGGGGTGGGGGGACAGCATGGGACAGGGAACAACAGGAGGATGAGCAGCAAAGGGGGGGGGTGAGGATAAGATGGTGGTTTTGCAGCTGGCGATGGCAATTGCTGTCAGGGGACAGGAGGTGCCCCCACCTCTGCCTGCTCGTTGCCAAAGCAAACGCCCTGCACAAAAGAGGAAATGCTGAGTGCATTCATTGTCATCCTCCTTGCACACGTCAGCCTCGAGCAGCACCCTGGGGTAGCGTCTCCAAGCCCCACAGTTTGTTCCCTATGGCAAACAGCCGTGCTAACGAAGCAGCTGCAGTTATTTAAAGCTCTGCAGCTGCTCAGCCCCCTCCTGTGCCACCTGTGGGTACCACCAGCCATGAGATGTCCTCAGCTGACCTCAGCATCTCCTTCCAGGTACCCGCATCTGAGCCCCAAATACAAGGAGTCCTTCGACGTGGGCAGTGACATCTTTGCCAAGTTCTCGGCGTACATCAAGAACTCACGCAAGGAAGCAAATAGCAGTAAGGAAAGGGAGCTGGGGAACCCCAGGGCTCTGCTCCTTTCAGCACAGCCTGGTAGGGGCTCAGGGGGGGGACCGGGCCCCTGCATGATGCCATGCTTTTCCCTACCTGCCCAGACCTGGAGAAGGCTCTGCTGCGGGAGTTTCAGCGGCTGGATCAGTACCTCACCACCCCACTGCCTGAGGAGATCGACCAGGACAGCATGGAGGACATCACCGTCTCCAAGAGGAAATTCTTGGATGGGGACCACCTGACGCTGGCTGACTGCAACCTGCTGCCCAAGCTGCACATCATCAAGGTAAGGGGCACCCAGAGCCAAATCTGGTGTCCTCTCCACACCCAGTGGTGCTGGTGAGGCCTCAGCTTCATTCTTTCCTCCAGATTGCAGCCAAAAAGTACCGTGACTTCGAGATCCCAGCTGACATGACGGGTGTCTGGCGCTACCTCAACAACGCCTACGCCTGTGACGAGTTCAGCCACACGTGTCCTGCAGACGAGGAGATCGTGCACACCTATGCCAGCGTGGCCAGGAAGATGACCTAGCCCCCTGCAGGACATCGGTCCTTCACCTCCCACCAAACCCTGGCCAACAGAGGGGCTGGGGGAGGGGGGGTTGTGGCATCCCTGCACCCCAGTTTTCGGAAAGAGCGCCTTGCTTTGCAGCCCCCACGTGCCACCAGCGCGGACCGTACCTATGGACTGGTCACCGTGTGGCTGTGGGGGGAACCGTGTCCCCACCCCTACAATTCACATGGCACATGGTGGGAAAAGTCAAGCACCAGCCTGTTGTGGAAGAGCTGAGATCTCCCAGTGTGTCCCTGAGATGGAAGAGATGGAAGAGATGGCACGTCCCTACAGGGTCCCACCGCCACCTGTGCTCGGGCTGTCTCTTCTCCTGAGGCATCCAGGCTCCAACAAGCTCTTCCCCTACAATTTATCTGTGGCAATAATCGACAGTGTGCATCCATCTCCTCAATTGGACAGCAGGGCAGGGAGATGCTGGGGACAGCACCAGGGATCTTCTGGTGGCTGGGAAAGAAGAGCTTTGTGGGTTCTCCTAAGAGATCCGCAGCTCTGGGGTATTCCAGCACTTGGCACTGGCTACGAGGCTCCAACTGGCTCTGAGACCTTGGTGGGCCCCAGGGGAGATGCAGCTCCACCTCCCTGCTCTGCATCAGCCCCTCCCCACCTAACCTGGAGAGAGGCACAGGGCAGAGCATCCTTCTGCTTTCTGCAATGCAGCCCCAGGCAGAAGCTGCTGTGTCCATAGGAGATACCTGGACAGCTTTGGTCCTACCCGTGCTCCCTGGTTAGCATTGTTCCTCCCATTCCAGTGCCAGAGAAGTCAAACCCCCAACCTCCCTCCCCATGCCTCCAGATCCTCCCAGGGCTCCCACCAACACAGTCAACCCCCTCCAGCCCCCACGGCCAGCAACAAATACTGTACAGTGAGTGTGAGGGTCCCATGCAGACCCTCGCTGGCAGAGCCACCCGCCAGCTCTCACTGCCACCTCCCTCTTTGCACTAAAAGGTGTGTCCTTGCAAGCCTGCTTCTGGTAGCACAGGGTTTGGGGACTGTTGTTTTTATATTGATGAGTTTTGGGTTGTTTGGTATTGTTTGATTTTTCTCTTTTTTTTAATTGTAACTAAAGACAGCAATAAACTCTATTTTAATATGCCTTGCTTGTGTACTGTCAGCATGTGGCATCTGGGCACAGGTGGGCAGAGGGAAGGAGGGAAGGAGGGAAGGAGGGACCTCCCATGCATGCAGGGCTTCTCTCACAGCCTGCGTTTGGTGATGCAGCATTGCCAGAAGCAAGCAGGAAGAGAAAGGTGAAGCTGCTGATGTGAGGGGCTGCAGCACTGCTTGGCTGTGGACAAAACACTCAAAGGAAGGGTGATGCCCACCCATCCCCCCAGCCTTTTGAGTCATTTCTAGCAGCACAGTTAGAGATCTGCATGCCTTTGTCCACACAGTGGGCACCTCTGTCCCACACCACGGTCACCCTCCAGCTCAAGACTTGATCCATCCCTCTCCACCCCAAGGTGTGACCAACCTCAATCCCAATCCCTGATCCTTTCACCTCAATCCATGATCCACCCCAAGGCCAACCTTGATTTCCATGGCCCCTCAGTTGGAGGAGTCCCAGAACCCACTGGGACACGGGCACACACTCCTCATGTTTAGTTGCTGAGGGTCCTGATCTGTCCCTCCCCTGAAGAGCATCCTCAGCACCTCTCTCCCTCCATGATTGGCCCCACACCAACCCCACCTTCATGCCCAGCTGCCCTCAAGCCTTGGCACCCCTCATTGCCATGAGCTTGGTGTTCCTGGCTCTCTCCGTTTGGCACAATCAGAGCCTGCTCCAGGCTCTGGGATGGCTGGAGTCCTGCTGGAGGCTGCTGTCAGCCATAAGAACCTACCAGCCATAAGCCCTACCAGCTGGGTCGGCGTCGGGTCTGGGTCCATTGCTGCACAAAGGGGAGGGGAACCCTCCTGGGGTGCCCCCAATGCGTCCTGTTGGGGTCTGTCCATCCCCAGGGGCAGCACATTGCATTTCTCATTGCTGAGCCCCACAAAACCCTTCGGACCTCATTCCAGCCCACACAGATCCCCCTAGATGTCAGCACCACCCCGTGGGGCTGTTGTCACCAGCCTGTTGTCACCTGCAAGCTGCCTGAGGACACACTCTGTCCCACCATCCAGGTCACCAACAGAGCTGCTGGACAACATTGGTAAGATGTGCTTCCAGTGACCAGCCTGCAGCTGGACATTGTCATCATCACCCTTGGGATCCAGCTCACCCACTGCTCACTTATGGACCCTGATAAGGATGCTATGGAAGGTGGTGAGGAGACAAACAGCATCTGCAGCCTTCAGGACAGGTGGGGAGAGTTTCCATACTGAGATTCTCTCTGCCATGAAAGTCAGCTCTGTGTCCTGGCAGGCCATGCTGGTGCAGCTGCAAAGGGTTAAGTGCAGCTTGAGGCATCCAGTTGCTCCTGCCTCGGAATCCAGCTGGCTGCGGTGCTTTCCAAATCTCTTTCACCCATTGCACCTCCAGCGCCTGTCTGTGCACAGCCCCAGCAAGCTCCCACCACGCTCTGCTGGCTCCAAAGGCATTCCCAAGCACCCAGCTCGGGTATTTTCCCTGTGTCAGACATGTGATGGAGTTGCTAAAGCTCTGGAAGTCCCCGTGAGTCAGCCAGGCAGTGAGAGGAGAGGGGAGGCCACTCGTTTCCCAGAAACAACAGCAGTGTGCCATGGTGGGGCTGCGTGCTGCACGGGCAGAGCTTGTCCCATTGCTTTTGGGGTAGGTGGGAGCAGTGCTGCGGAGATGGACCCCACTTCTGGTGGGGCTGGGAGCAACACTGAAACAAAGCTCATGGATCCACGCATCCAGGCCTGTAAGTAATGCAAACAGAGCAACCTGAAGGCGCCTTGAGACATCAACACTGCGGTCTGCAGCGAGATGTGGGTGGGATGGGGTCGAGGAGCACCGTCCTCCTGCCAGAGCCACCTCGATCCCGTTTCCATCCATCAGATGCCAGGTGCGGATCCCAAAGGCATGCTGACCTTCTGCTGCCTCCTCCCGACTGCCGGCACTTGCCAGGCGTGCCCAGAGGAGGGCACTGCCAGCCCAGCACGTGGGATGGGAAATCACAGAACGGCCCGGGCTGGAAGGGACCTCAAGGATCACGAAGCCCCAACCCCCTGCTGCATGCAGGGCCACCAACCTTCACGTTTAACACCAGCCCAGGCTGCCCAGGGCCCCATCCAACCTGGCCTTGAACACCTCCAGGGATGGACGGGGCATCACAGCCTCTCTGGGCAGCTGTTCCAGCACCTCACCGCTCTCATAGGAAAGAACTTCCCCCTGACATCCAACCTCCATCTGCCCTCCCTCAATTTCCCCTTGTCCTGCTGTCATCTCCCCTTTCCAAGAGTTGATTCCCCTCCTGTCTGCAGGCTCCCTTTAGGCACTGCAGGCTGCACTGAGGTCACCCCGCAGCTTTCTTTTCTCCATGCTGAACAAGCCCAGCTCCCTCAGCCCGTCTTCGCAGTGGAGGTGCTGCAGCCCCCCGATCATCTCTGTGGCTTCTCTGGACCCTCTCCAACAGCTCCCTGTCGTTCCTGTACTGGGGGCTCCAGACCTGAACTCAGTGCTGCAGATGGGGCCTCAAAAGAGCAGAGCAGAGGGGGACGATCACCTCCGTGCCCCTGCTGGCCGCCCTTCTTCCAATGGAGCCCAGGATCCTGTTTGCTTTCTGAGCTGCAGTGCACACTGCTGGCTCTTGTTCAGTTTTTCACCCACCAGGACCCCCAGGTCCTTCTCTGCAGGGCTGCTCTCAAGGACTGCTGCTCCCCACAGAACCCTGCCCCCGCTCTCCGCTCTCTGGATGGAGCTCAGCTCTCTGACACTGAGCGATACAAACACCCTCTGCTATCCCCCGCCGGGCTGTTTCTCACACGGAGCCGTTGCCAGCTGCATTCTCCTCATTGCTTTGAAGCAGCATCGTCAGAAGCTCAAACCGCCACCACCCGAACATCGCCGCGCTCCGCGATGCCTCACACCTCCCAGCCGATGCAAAACCAAAACCTCGCCGAGCCGAGCTGCCAAAATGTCACAAAGCTTCGTCTTTTTCCACTCTCACCTTTCCTGTTTCACGCTCTTCTGCTGCTTCACCCCCCCTCCGGGGTGGGCGGCACAGCGGGGCCACGAAGCACAAAGGGACGGATGGAGAACCCTCTTGCTGCAGCAGTGCCCTGTGGCACAGAGGTTCCAGGCACAGCAAAGAGCTTGCAGCAATAAATTAGTATTATTAAAAAAGTAATAATAACTGCACAGTCCTGACAAATTGGAAAAAAAAAAAAAACCACCAAAAAATCTCTAACCAAGAGATGTCTGTGTGTGCACAGGTACAGATCTGCATCAGGCCGTGCCCTATTCATGCACACATCTACAGCCACAGGGGGATAAATAAAGATGTGGGGGTTGGGTGGTGGCTCTCACTCCTTGCACTCTGCTTCAGGAGCCCCCAGCAAGGCAAAGCGATGCTCTGGGGGTGCTGCTGCCTCCTCCTCGTGAGGTGTGCCTGTGTGCCAGCTGGGCAGCATGCAGGGACAGCCCCGTTGCTGCGTGCTGCTGTCATCCACCCCCAGCTCGGTCTCTGGTAACCTCACAGAGCTGAGTGGTACCCAGGACCCAGCTGCGTCCTCCTGCAGCTCACCAGGGCTGAAGCTGATGGTGTTCAGGGCAGGAAGAAGGTTGCTGCCCGCTCCAAGAGCTGTGGAATAAAGCTGGAGGTGCGGGGAGAGCCACGTCTCTGATGTCCCATAGTTCCCATCCATCACGCTGCTGGCTGGAGACACCGCCGCAGCATCCCTGTCGCTTTCATCCTCGTCCTCCTCCAGTGCTGGTGCCCAGGAGCTTGGCTGGGAGCTGGGTGCAGTCCTACCCTCGTGCCACTCCATCCCAAACCCATTGGGGCAGTAACCGCTCCTCTCCTGGAAACACCACCCCCCCAGCAGCAGTGGGGCTGCGGGTGCTGGGTGCTCGCTGGGGGCTGGCAGCAGTGGGGCTGGTGCATCCTCCTGCAGCTCCAGGGTGGGCACCGCAGCGCTGCTGGGCAGCAGAGCCTGGAGGGAAGCAGACAGCAAAGCGATCAGCGCTGGTGTGCTACAACCACAGCGCTGCTGGGTGCTGGTGTCGGGCAACCCCTTCACGCACAAGCAAACCCAGTGCAGAAGCCAATCCTTAGCACTGATACCAGCAGGGTAGGCTGACCAGCTGGATGCCCCCCCCTGTGCTGCATGGGGAACTGCTTAGCCTGCCAGGTCGCCCTGAGCACTGGGATATGGGAATGCAGGGGGCAGTGGGATGTGGGGAGCCGGGCTGTCCCTGCTCACTGCCGTAGGGAACAGGGATACACAGCTGAGAACACTTCAGGTCAGCTTCGCCCTGGTGCTGCTCCAAGGATAGAGCTCACATTCCCTGCTCCAGCAGAACCACGGCACCCTGGTGGGGCTGCACCCCTCGCAGCAAAGCCAAAAGCAGCATGGCATGCACGGGGCTGCAGGCCCCAAGAGCCCTGCGTGCAAGGTGGTCGCTCACCAGCATTTTTGGGAGGTGCATTTCAGAGGACTTCGGGAAGATGTACACACAGGTCAGGCAGACAGCAGGCACACTCAGCAGTGGGAGGGCAGCAACCATCGCAGCCAGGAGCACCCAGGGGAAGGCTGCAGGGAAAGTCCCCGTCAGCCCCAATAATGGCATCCCACTAGCTGGGTCCAGCCCCAACCTGAGGGGTCCACGTGGGCTGTGTGACCCACATCCTGCCATGTGTCCTCAGTGACACTGAACTTTCACCTGCAGGACCTGCTGGTGTCACCAGGCACTGCTCAGCCTCCAGGCTCCGCTGTGGGGCTATGCCCACTGCCACCGTGTGGATGCAGTACTGCGTGCTGGGCATCAAGAACCTGAAGGTACACGATGCTTTCCTGGTGGTCCACCTGCAGGGCACCTGCAAGCAGAAGGCCAAGGTCCCAGTGACTGTTACACAATGGCAAAGGGATGCTTTCATCCCATAACCATTCATTTTTTATGATGCACACAATCTGGAAGAAGGAAGGGGTCCCCAGGCCAGAAGACCCATCTTTGGGATGCAAACCACCCCTATCTCCTATCCTCTTATCCACATGTGGGACAACCCTGTGGGTACCACCAATTCCAAGCCCTCATGCTATCAACCAAACACAACGGGATACGGGCTTCAGAGCACCCCTGTGCCCCCTCCCCTGGACCCCCTGCCCCACCACACACCTCCTGCTGGAGCACATCCCCATGGTACAGACGCAGGTGGTACCGCAGCTTCCGCAGCACTCTGCTGAGCGGTTTGTAGGATCCATGCCTGCTCTGGTACGGGGTGAGCGGTGCACTGAGTTTAATGCTGAGGTTGTGGCCCTGGAGCTGCCAGGATAAGGTGGGGGGGCCCACAGTTGCTGTAGGGAGAGGGAAAAAATAAAGAGGAGGCGGCACGAAGCCCTTCACAGCATGAGGTGGGTGTCTTAAAGAAGGAGATGGGGGTCTTAGCTCTTCAGGAACGATCATTCTCTGGGAATGATGCTTCTCCCACCTCTTGTAGGACCCCCCAAGAGCAGCAGGAATGCAGATGAAGGCTCCTTACTGTCTCTGTATGGCAGCAGCTCGTTGGAACTGACCCACGGGGACGGCTCGCCATCCTGCACTGCTCTCACCCTCGCCCAGTAGATACCATGGATGTCCTCACAACGCAGCTCACACACCCAGGATGAACCGGTGCTGTTCCCCCCACAGGTGTCTGCCCTGGTCCAGCGGGAGGTTCTGCCCATGGAAACAATGACAGGATAGGAAAACCCATCACCCATCTACTGTGCCTGGCCAGCTGGGGTTGGGGAGTGAGGTGTGGGGCTGGGGGGGGAACCAAGCACCGCCTGTGCAGCAGCAATGGCTTATCGTGTGCTGGAGAGCCCAGAGAAGGTCCAAGAAGATGAGCTTGTAGGGGAGAGCTTCTGATAGTTGGGGCATCTGTGGGATGGGGCTGAGGGCTGGGAAGGCTCAGCCCCAGAAGGCTTGGAGCAGAGGGACCCAATCCACATGGAGAGGAGCAATGATCTTCTTGGTGATGCCCAGTGGAAGGGCAGAAAGCGTGATTTGAAATGAAGATGGATTGAATGGATTGAAGAATTTCCATTTAAGCATAAGGGGAAAAAAAAAAAACCAGCAAGCCTAAACCCAAAAGAAACCTAAATCCCTTTTTCTTGATTTTACCAACAGGGACCAACAGAGGGAATGGGGCGACCAACAGCAGAGGGAAAGAGGCGCCTCCATCCTTGAAGGAGGTCAGAACCCAGGAGGGCCCCTCCTGAGCAGACCCTGCCACTGCGTTATTATGGGATGTTCGCTGCAGGGAAGCAATCCCCGGGCTCCACCTACCTCTTCCTCCACTCCACCTGGTACGCGGTCCCGTTCGGTGCCTGCGGGTCGGGCTCCCACCGCAGCTGCACGTGGAAGTTCTGAGCCCACAGCCGCACCCCCCGGGGGGGCAGCGGTGTACCTGGGGGAGCAGAAGGACGTCAGGCTGTTTGCTCCCCCTGGCAGCACCCCATCAGCAGCACGCCCCTTCCCTCCTTGGCCACGCTGCGCCTATCGCAAGGCTTTGCCCAACCACCCGCCCTCCCCGGCACTTTTTGGGCTCACCTCGCAGCAGGGCGCAGCTGGCCAGGGACAGCAGCAGGCGCAGCGCAGGGCTCATCCCGTCCCCATCTGCTCTACATGGCCGCGCTGGGTCCCTCGGCGTGCCCGAGCACTTGGGCCACCAGCGACCACCATGGGCGGCCAAAACCTGAGTGCACGAAATAAAACCCAACGGCGTTATTTGTCCCCAAAGCCGCAGCGCTGTGCCTTCCCCACGGAAGCTGCGAGCTCGGAGTGTGCACTGCAGTGAGGTGGGGACAAATCCCCACGGGGCTGCGGTGACAAAGGGACACGCGGCTGCCACGGGAGCCGTGCTGCGGCCGCCCGGCTGTGCCCGCCCGGTGCTGGGCAGTGCCACCCGATGCGGGTGCGTCTCAGGAAGTGGTGGCATCTCAGTGCCGCCCTGCTGGGACCGGACACCATGGGACGAGCGTCCCGTCGGTGAAACGGGGCTCCCCAACCACCCCAAAGCCCCGCACCCCATCGAGCCGAGCAGCACCCGAACCCGACGGGATGGCTTCTCCCTACAACCGCGCTCTGACCCACCGCGTACAGCGGCAGCTCCGTTCTCCCCGTTGTTCCCCAACCCCTTTTGCCACCCCGTGCCGCCGCTCCACCCTACCCGCAATCACAGCGTGGGGGGAGGGGGGGGGGAAAGGGGTGCGAGCCTCAACCCCTTCAACCCCTCCAACCCCCTCACCCCATATCGCTCCCCGCTCAACCTTTCCCCCTCCCCCCGGGCCGCCCGCCCGCAGGCACGGCCCACCTCCAGTGCGCTCCGTGCCCGCCCCGACTGTGCCCGGATGCGTCCTGTGACGGTGCTGAGCTGATGTGCTTCGGTGTTGTGGTTGTTTTTTTTTTTTTTAATTCCTCCCCCGGGTCAGGTTTCTTCTCTTTTTCTTCCTCATTGCCCGGCTCACCTCGCTGCCAGCTCAGCAGTGCCCTCTGCTCCCCAGCACATCGCCTCTGAGCGGCGTTGGGTGCGCAGCGCACAGCACGGTGCTCCTCCAGTCCCCTGCGAGGTGAGCAGCCCCGGCTGGGCTCCTCGGGCACGACGCTGTCACGAGGACACACAGCCACTGGACGGATGGATTTTAATGGCATCCTCACTGAGAACAGCTCACGCTTATTGCCACCCCAACCCCAGACAGACATGGCCATCAGCCCAAATGGCCACGTGTGTCACTCCTGGGGAGGATGACAGTGAGGCAGGCGGTGCCCAGGACACCGATCGGACCGGGTGACCCCACAGGGATGCGGCAGGGGATGTTTCAGCCATCCCAGCACAGGGAAAAGAGCATTCCAAGAGCTCTATGGTGCTGTCAAAGGCTCACGGGAGCAAACGCTCGTCCCTTCTGCACGTTTCCACTTCCGACATCACCTCCAGCACCCCCTGCTTTGCTCGCAAGGCTGGGAACACCCCTGAATAGATCTGGGCACCACTGAGGCACCCAAACCAGAGGCACAGAGAGACGAGAGAAGCTGGAGACACCCAGCTCTGCAGCAGCCACGGCTCCGGCCAGCCTCCTCCTCCCCCTCACGTCTTCAAAGCAGCAGGAATCACAGAGCTGGGCACTTCCTTGGGTGTCGGGATGGACGTGGGCAGGACGCAGCATGACGATGCTACGGGACGTCGGCACCTGCCCTCGCCTTTCGCGACGCGGCCACCTCCGTCCCCGCCTCCCGGAGGCTGTGCTAAGCTTTGCCGGGCGGTACCCATCCTCCAAACGCCTCCTCCAGGTAGCGGGCCACTGCCAGCGTCAGGCGGTCGTTGTAGGAGGCTGCCACCAACTGGATGCCCAGCGGCAATCCCTCACTGCTCAGCCCCAACGGGCACTGCGTGACGGGCAGCCCCAGGACGTTGAAGATGGCTGGAAGAAAGGAGAGGTGGCATCAGAGATCCCCCTCCCCTACCCCAAGCCGAGCTGCTGGCTTCCGAGCTTGGGTTGGAAGGGAGTTTAAAGCCCAGCCAGCAGCTCAGGCTCCAATCCAGCTGGCCCAAAGCACCTCCAGGGATGGGGAATCCCAGCTGTATGCACCATCCCCACATGACCCCAAAGCCAGACAGCATAACAGCACAGTGCTGGTATGGAGGAGCTCCAGATGCAGCAGAACCACATAGGGAGCTCCAAGCTGTATCCCAAGACATGGAGCAGCTGCCAGAGCACACTTCATCCCTCTGGACAAGGGCACATGGAAATAAATGCCCACTTCCACATGTCCTTAGCAGAGGACCCCTCTGCTAAGCTGTTGTTGGGGACAGATACCCCCATGTAGAGCTACTCACCTGTGTAGGCAAAGTTGAAGGGCATGCAGATGGGGTAGTGGTGCCGAGGGGCCACGGTGGGGTGGGGTGGATAGAGCAGCACACCATCCGGGCCCAGCAGCGTCTCCATCTCGGCCTGCAGGCTCTTCCCCATGCTGACCAGCTTGGCGTTGAGGCTAGGGCTGAGTTTCATCACCTTCTCTGTCAGCCCCAGGGCTGCAGGGTGAGAGCAGAACAGGGCTGTGGGTTACACCAGGCACAGTGCCCTACAGCACCTATAGGCACCGCTTTGGTGCCTACAGTTTGAAGGACGGAGCAGAACACTCTCAGCACTCATTAATCAGCAGCGCAGCGCCGCTAATGAGAGCTCCTCGTTAACTGCAGGGCTCCCCATGCTTACCGATGGCCGGCAGCGTGTGTGAGGACATCCCCACCAGCCACTTCAGCAGCTCCCACAGCGGCCACACCGGCTTCCCGTGGTCCCCCAGCAGCTCCGTGAAGCACTGTGCCTCCTGCAACCACACGCACACCTCCTGCAGCAGCAGCCCTGCATGCATTTCCCTTTGCAGGCACTGCAGCTTCTTCCAGCTGCAAAGCAGCAGGTGATGCTTGGGGAGGTGATGCAATGCTGCTAACCCAGTGCTGCCAACCCAGCAGTGCTGGGATGCTATTGCACACAGATCCCGCTTTGCAGCGTGCCCTGAGATGCACAGCAGGGAGTTGGCACCTGTGTGGCTTTGCAAGGAGGTAAAAAAATACTGCAGTGTCCCCCCGTGCCCCTACGTGTCACCCACCGTCCCGTCGCTGTCCTGCGAGGACATCATGGCTGACCAGATCTGGAAGGAGTACTTCATCTTGTGGATGGATACCCGCTGCACCTGCACCCCTAGATCGCTCTCCAGGTGCTCCACCACCTGGTGGGGACAGAAGGAGGGGTGTGCATCTATCAGGACACAACACACAGCTGAAACCCACGGAGATCGGGGCTGGGGGGAGGTCAGTGGGCCAGAGAGCACTCTGCACCTCCTGTTACAACAGAAACTGCACCTAATGCTTTGGACACAGTTATAAGTGCTGCTTGCAAGGGTGCTGTGCTCCTGCTGCAATGCAGAAAGTTGTCCTTGCACATTTTCCTTCCTACCTTCTTCTGGGCTTGCAGGATCTCTTTTTCCACTGGGTACACAAACATGGAGCCGCCATCGTGGTCCATGCAGAAGAACTTAATTTTCTCCAGTGACACATTTTCATCCAGCTTCAGCCTGCAAAGGGAACGGGGCACCTTGCAACTCCGTGCTCTGGAGCTGCTCACAGGCATGGAAATGCCCTGAGGACATGATGGTGCTGCCCATTCCCCATCCACCCACTCACCCCACTTTTCCCACCGTAGCTCTGCAAATGCAGCCCTGCTGCAATGCCTCATCATTTGCAATGCACCCTGCGGGGACACCACAGCTAAGGACAGCACTGCAGCTCTGCATTGCAGCAGGAGAAATGAAATGCTGAGGCAGCTGCACTGCAGCAAGCAGCAGGTCCTGCCCCGCCTGCACTCAGCTCCTGCTGGCCCATGCATGCACACTGAGCACCGCTCAGCTGCGTGGTGACCAAACGGTGGTCGGAATGGAAAAACATGATGCGACAACAGGAAAAAAGCAAGCAGAAAACAAAAGGACAGCCGGTTCCAAACGGGAAGTGCAGCTGGAAGCACTGCCAGCAACCTACTTGTGCACCTCAGGGCCAGCCATGACCCGCAGCATCGGCTCCAGGTCCTCAGCGTAGCGGCACATGGGCCCGGTGCACAGGAAGCTTCTCCGCACCCCCTGCGCAATGGGGAACTGCCCATCATTGGGGACCACTCCTGCAAGCAGGGGGAGAGGGGTCGGTCACTGCATGCCACGACCCAGTGCTACTGCTGCAAGACAGAGCAAGAAGTGTGAGATTGTGGTCTCCTGCTGCCACGCTGCAGCTCAGGGGTTGCATGCAACAGGCCTGCAGAGCTGCCCCCGGGTCTTGTAAAGGTGCCCTGGGGTTTGCAATGCTGCTCCAATTGTTTGTGGTGATGTCCCCAGGGCCACTCTGGGGATTTACAATGGTGCCCCTGGGTTTGCAACGGTGTTTTGGGGTTTGCAATGCCACTGCAAGCATTTGCAGTGGTGCTCCTGGGGGTGCTTGCAATGCTCCTCCAGCCTTTTGCAATGACACTGCAGTGTTTCAAATGGTGCCCTCAGGACAACAACGGTACCCTGGATTTTGGAGGTGCTTGCAGCAGTGCTCACCAGGGTATTTGCAGCCCACACCAACATGCAACAAGGAGGGCAAGCAGCTGGCTGGCAGGGCCGAGCACCCCTAACCCCAGCCAAATGTGCATTGCATCCCTGCTGCCAGGAAAATACCCACGCAGCGCAGCCCTGCCCTGGGAACACATCCCACGCCGAGGCTGGGGCACCTCCCACCTCCCCTGCACTTGAGGCTCTGCCATCAGGCGGTTTCCCATTACTCTGCTCATACAGCAAGTCTGCCCCGTGCAAGAAGCTGCTTGTTCTCTCGCAACTCTCCTCCTCCATGCGTCACCTGTCGTAGGTTTGTGGCCAAAGACACCATTGAAGAACGCCGGCATCCGGATGCTGCCTCCAATGTCGGAGCCCACTCCTATCACGGAGCAGGCGGCTGCAAGAGCGCTGCCCTCCCCACCTGCAGGGCAGAAAACAGAGCAAAGACAGTGGCTTACAGAGCACAGCACCCCACGGCAGACATTCCCCTCGCACCCACACGTTTGCAATGGCTGAGAAACAGAGCAAAGGGATTTTGCTCGCACCTGAGCTGCCGCCCGCGATGTGCTGCAGGTCGTAGGGGTTGTTGGTGCACCCGTACACCTTGTTGCTGGATTCAAACCACATGCACAGCTCGCTGCAGTTGGTCACCCCCAGTGGGATGGCGCCCGCCTGCTTCATCCGCCCCACCACGACGGCATCCGTGGCAGCAATGACACAGCGGCGTTTCACCAGGCCGGATGTGTTGGGCATCCCTGCAAAGAGGATGGGGTCACTGCCCTGCTGGGCTCCTTGCAACAGCCACGAGCTCGCTGCAAAAGGAGCAGATGCAAACCCACCGTGCAAGGAGAAAGCCTCCTTAACGGTGAAGGGAACCCCTAGGAAGGGGTACTTCTCCAGGCTGTCATCAGTGCGGCCCTCTGCCAGGAGCTGGTCCACCTGGCGTGCTTCCTGCAGGGCCTCCTCAAACCTGTGACAAACCAGCAAGAGCAGCACGGGGAGAGGCTTCCCCACGAGTTCCCGGGGCCGTTTGCACTCCCAGCACCGAGTGCTCAGAGCCCTACCTGTCCTTGACGACGGCATTGATCAGCGGATTCACCTCCCTGATCCTCTCCACGTACTCCTCCACCACCTCGATGCACTTCACCTGCGAGCAACGACGGGGTGCGGGACGGTCGGCGGGGGGCCGTGCGGGGCTCCTACCGCCACACGGGACCCCAACAGCACGCATAACCCGGACATCCCCCCCCCCCCCCCCCCCCCCGCCCCTGCCGGAGCCGCAAGCGGCGCGCCAACTCCCGGGCAGGTAGCAGGAGCAGCTCGCTGCGGGGCGGCGGGACGGCGCGCCCTGGCGCGGGGCTGGCGGTGCGTGACGGCGCGGGCAGCAATCCCAGCAGCGCCAGGCAGGCGCGGGACACGAGGCGCAGCAGCAGCACCACGAACCGCTCCACGCGCGACAGCGCCATCGCTCCTCGGACGCGCCCCCCGCGCGGGAGGGGGCGGGGCTTGGATGCCGGCGGAAGTGACGTCAGCGAGGCGCGGTGCCGACGCCATGTTGGGGGGGGCGTTGCCTCGGTGACGGGTGGTGGTGGTAACATGGCGGAGTGCGTGGCGCGCTCTCAGGGTGGATCGCCTTCGTGCCCATCCACAGCCTTGAGCCGGGTGTCTCCCAACCGCTCGGGGCCCACCCGTATCCTGGGGCACCCCCAGCTCAGGGCAGCAGGGCAAGGCCTCAGCGCCCCCTGAGCAAAGCAGGGGTTTTTCAGCTCCTGGGTGCTGGGAGTTAGCAAACAAAACCAAACAACCGTGGTGTCTGAAACAGGGTGTTGAAGCAGCGCCCCTGCTGCATGGAGAAAAGAAGGCTGCGGGGTGGCCTCAGTGCAGCCTGCAGAACCTAAAGGGAGGGGAATCAACTCTTGGAAAGGGGGTATGACAGCACGACAAGGGGAAATTGAGGGAGGGCAGATGGAGGTTGGATGTCAGGGGGAAGTTCTTTCCTATGAGAGCGGTGAGGTGCTGGAACAGCTGCCCAGAGAGGCTGTGATGCCCCGTCCATCCCTGGAGGTGTTCAAGGCCAGGTCGGATGGGGCCCTGGGCAGCCTGGGCTGCTGTGAAATGTGGAGGTTGGTGGCTCTGCATGCAGCAGGGGGTTGGGGCTTCGTGATCCTTGAGGTCCCTTCCAGCCCGGTCCGTTCTGTGATTCTGTGATATTGCAGCTCCTTCCCCCCACCTCGATGATAAACTCTTCCGAGGAAAACCTTTTATGGCTGTTATGTCGGCGTTTACAGCACCAGCCCACAGCACGCACTGCTTATGAGGATGCTGGGTGACCTCTGCCCCATCAGAGCCCGAGCTGAGAGAGAAAACAAAGCCATAATAATAACACAGAGATATTTTTAGACCGGCTGTTATCAAACAGATTGCTTTTCCTGCGAAAAAGCAAAGCAGTCCCTCCCAGGGCAGGGGAACACCTGTCCCCTGCTGATTTAATTAAGCAGCTCTCTGTTTTTGACCCTTTTTCTGCCTTTCCCAGCTCTGTCCCACCAGCACAAAGCAGGGTGCCTGCTGGCTGTTGCCTGCTGTGGCTGGGATCGCTGTGTAGATGCCTTATCTCAGCCCTCAGGTGGCCTTTGCACTTTCCCCTGCAGTATCGAAGCGCCCACACACCCTCAGATTACGACAGGGCAAGGTTAGAAGGGTGTTTCTCCTGCCTGCATCATGTGCAGCACCAGAGTTACCTGCTTGGAGGAAACGGTGAGCCAGGGCATGTTAAAACTTGGGCTGTGCAATCTGCTGGCAGCTACGTGTTGCCACAGCAGGAGCTGGCAGTGGGGAGAGCTCCCCAGAGCCGAGCTGGTAAGCCAAGCCTGGGTAAGGCCAATGGCCCCCAGGCTTCTGCCCACGCCAGAGCAGTGAGGTCTGTCCTGTGGAAGGAGACACAGACAGAGCATCCCTCCTGATCTCCAGCCCAGTGCCGCTCTTGGCAACTTTTTACTTCAGGTTTGCCCTTGTTTCCCCCTCCAGTCCTGCCCAAGTGTTGGCAGAGAGAAGTATGAGCAAGCTGACTTCTTCTTGAGATCCCTGCTCCCTTTGCCATCATAGCAGAGACCTCCCCCAGGCAGCATCCTTCTCTGTGCAATGTGTCTCCCTTCATCTTCGTCTTCATCAGAGCAGCTGTGCAATGCACACCGGTGCACTCAGCGCCAATCACACCGTGTGCCAGCGCTGCCCTGGGTGGCAGCTCGAGCTGCTTCTGAGCCTTCTGGGAGCTAAGCCATGAGAGCAGCTACCATAATTCACGGCATTCCAGAGGAGCTCCATTTCCATGAAAAACGGAGGAATGAGATAGAAGATGCTTTAGAAATAACGCACCGGGAGGTCTCAGATCAAAATGAAGGCTGTATTTCAACGAGTAAAATTAACCAACAGGCAACTGGTGCCCCAGACGCACACTGAGAAGCTGGTTAATTGCAGTCTGATTAAAAATCAAGCAGCAAAGAGCAAGGAGCTTGGAAACACACAGCGGAGCTCCCACATCCCTGCGCGTCGCCCAGCGAGGTGGAAGAAAAGCATGATTCAGGTTCTCACTTCCCTGGTGCTTGTGCCTGTCGTTATCCCCAGACGTTTTGTCATTAGCAACGGCTTCAATCAGCACGAGAGAGGAAAGGTGGAGTGGTTCTGCTGGTTGTGTGTGTGGTGTGGTAACACCGAGTGGCCAAGGAGCTGCGGGCGGATGGTGGGAAGCAGAGAGGCTGTGCTGGTCTGTTCCCTGGTGCAGAAAAAGAGAAAAAAAAGCTTTCAGGGAATTGAAAGAAGTCCAGCAGAGTCATTCTTCCCTTTGCAAACTGAGTCGCTTAATATTTATCCATAAAATGAGGGGAAACACTTTATATAGAACAGTGCAGAGGTGGGGGAAGAGAGAAGGGACTGAAGCACAGCACCTCGGACGCTTTATTTCCCGTTAAAAGAAATACAAACCCACCAAGTTTGCAGGTCCCTTGGTGCCTGCCGTTAGCCTCACCGCCGCTGAGCGATGCTGTGCCCTGCGTTTCCGTCGTGTCTCCTTGTCGGCTCTCCAGGAGCCCGGCTGCCCGCTGTGCTCCGTGCCTGTTGAATAACCGCGGTGCAGCACGTGGAGTGAAGGGAGGAATCCCCTGCAATTGCTCCAGATCCCCGCACCCGAACTGAGCGCATATCCAGAGCTACGGAGTGGAACTTTTCCCCCCGAAGACCCCATGTGAGGGAGCACGGGCTGCACTCAGCCCATCGCCCCCAGGAGGAGCTGCGTTCGCAGAAAAGCAGTGTGCACCGAGCTGCTTTCGTTCTTGGAAATCAGATTTGCAGCAAGCCACAAGTGATGGAAAGCGAGATTTGCTTCACGTGCCACATCCTTGGCTCAACCTCTGCTAGCAGTTCTCAGAGCATCCCGATGCGCATCCCAAAATCGGGCTGAGGTGCCAGATGGGTGCGGGGTTGGGATGCTGTGCGGTGTCCCGTGGCTCGCGGTGCCCGCTGACTGTGCTGTTGCCATACGAGGTCGCTCTGCCACCGCACCTCGACATCCCTGCGCTGGCCCCGCAGGGCCACAGCTGTTCCCACTGCACGGAGCCAGAGTACACTGTGTTCGCCCAGAGTCCTTTATTAAGCAAAATGTTTATGCATGCCTCTGCTCCGATGAACATCTTGGCTGGCTCACGCAAAGCCTGCTCTGTGCTGAGCCTCCAGCTGCCGGCGGGCCTGGGGAAGGGTCAGGGGGACCCTAAATTTAGGATTCTTCTGCCACCCTTCATGGTGGGCAGCCCCTACCTTGGTCTCTACGCCCTCAGCCCTGCTGCAAGCCCTTGATGTCCCAGGGTTACTGCTGGCCACTCTGGGGGGGGGGGGGGCTAGGCTTTGGCACCCACCCCACAAACCTTCCCACTTTAGCAGGGCTTTGGGGTGCAGCTGGGGGCTCCAAAAACAGCTGGTACCTGGGCTCCAGCGTGTCTCTGGCAGTGCAGAATAGCATTCCTGGCGTTGTTCCTCCTCAGCAGCCTCCTGGCGCATCATCCTGATGTGCTGCCACCGTGTCCATGCTCCCCGCTGAGAAGGGAGCTGCACACCCTGGGCAAGGGGCACCAGAACTCTGAGGTCTTATATAGCCCTGCAGGTGAATCCAGAGCCGTGGAAAGGTGTTGAGAAGCTGCTGGGGACCTCAGGACACCAATGTGTGATGAGGATAGGTCTCAGATGGGGGCATCCATGGGCACGTGAGCTGGGATCTGTGCTGTGGATCCCACAGTTGAACAGTGCCTCAAGGAATGACCCTGTCTCATGTTTTTGAGGGTCACACGAGATGGAGCATCTCAACAGCACAGCGAGGCTGCAACAAGCCAGTGGGACCAGTGCTGAACTGGTGATCTTTGTGTGCCTTGTAAGAGGGACCAACCCAGCCTGTTTGCAAGGGAGGAGAAGAGCTCCGCAGCAAACCTCAGGGCTCACTGCCTTGAATTTGGGATGCCGAAAACCTGGTGGCCTCCAGGTCCCTATGGCCTTCACATTGGTGACATCGTGCCATCGGACACGCAGGTGTGCCTGGCCGCCCTTGCAGGCGGGGGGACTTTCCCAAGAGTGTGCTGGCTTTCGGCAGAGCTGGTTGCCCAAGCAGCCCCATGGCCCTGCCAAGCTGCGTGCCACGGCCCTTGCGCAACGGTGTTGATAAACACTGCAGGGCATGCCAAGTCCTGTGGGACGCAGCTGTGTGCTGGGGCTGCAGGCAGCGCCCAGCGAGGCAACAGGAATTTTCCACTCTCGGCACAGTACGTCTCGCCCGGCCGGGTGCTGACCCAGTGAGGTGAAGACTCGTCTGTTGGTGTCCCAGCTGCCTCTGTCTGACTCTATCAGTCCTGCTGCACAACCCCGGGCGCTAGTCAAGGCAGGGGGTGGCACAGCAATAGGGCTGGGATGGGGTGCTGCTAAGCCCAAGGCGATCCAGCCATCCCCATGGAGATGTTCTGTCCTTAGCTTTCCCTTTCCAAGGATGTTATTGCTTCCCAAGAATAAGGACCTTGTCCTGAGGGTGTACTCCATGTCCCCAGGACTTGCTCTGTCCTTGGGATGGAGATCTCTTCGGTGTTCCTCTTTGCATTCACCCCACATGGTGCACAAGATGGTCCTTTCTGAGAGCCTTCCTCCTCAGGTCTGCATGGGAAAGCCACTGGCACGGGGATGCTCATGTAGATGCTGCCTTGTGCTTCCAAACCACGGAGTGGCTCAGGGACCCCCAGTTTGGGACATTCCTGCTTGGTTTGACGGAACCTGAAGGGCAGAGATCCCAACCATTCTTCTGGGGAATCATTTCAGGCCCTGATGTCCAGCTCTCAGGTTTGCTGAGAGGTTCCATCAGCACTTGGTTTGTTGCAGAAGTTGCGCAGGGATTTAAAGGAACTGCGCCTTCCCTTCCCTTCCCTTCCCTTCCCTTCCCTTCCCTTCCCTTCCCTTCCCTTCCCTTCCC